CCTCCAAACTGTCATCAGACCTTTGCCAATACCATGCTTCTTCACAGGTGCTGTCCTATTACAATCGGTGAGACTTCGAATTGCACTCTTGGAACCCTGATGAAAAAGGACTTGTGATAAATAAATGTAAAGGAGAGTGGCAAGAGAAACACCACAGATATTTCTTGGAATAATAGAAGTCACCTTCCTCTTTTTTGAGGATCCTTGGTCCTCTTGACAAGCAGAAGTGTGTCTGGGTCCTAATCAATCAAAGAGGAAACGGAAACAAGGCTCGTTATGAATACAATAGGTAGGTATAGAAGACTAAATAGATTTAAAGGTATACTTAGAATAACAATAGAAATGGCCAAATGGGAGAAGTAAAACAATGTTATTTGCTCAGTAAAAGTGCACAATGGAAGGAATTAAAAAGTAGGGTGTTTTACGACTCCATGTTGAATTGAGGCCAACAAATTTATTTCTTCTGTCAGAAAGAAAAAGTTACAGAACATTGCAGTGATTAATAATCAAATCAAAAATAATATTTTGTTTAACTTCATATTTCCTATGAATACAGATTCAAATACGATGCTTAACTAATGACTATTATTTACTCCCTTCAATGTTCACTCCAATCAACGAAAGGGATGGTGTTAATTTCGAAATCAAAGCCAATTCATCTAATACAAAGTTCTTTACTGAAATAATCATATTCCATCTATACCCCATTTTCTTCAAAAATTTAGTAAACTATCCACGCACTCATGTACCGAAATATACAGTATTTAACAACACAAATCCACTGAATCCGATCACCAAAAACCACTGCCTTATACTCCCATCTAATATCATTGCTCCACAACTACCGGATACAATAAAAAAAAAACAGAGCACTAAGCACTCGGCACACAGTAGAATAACTATGAATCGTTGAAACGCACCAGAAGGAAGAAAGTCAAACTCCTGACCAAGCGAAGGACCGTCCTTCCGCAACACTCTGTTCACAATGTAATCGGCTGTGAACAGCTCCTGAAGACCTTTACGCTTTTGTGTTTTCTTGACGTTCCGCGACACAGCCATGTCATAATTTGAAACAGAAGAACCGTTTCTAGCAGCCGCGACAACTCGCAATGATCCTTTTCCACCGCCAGACGCGCGAAATTCTTCTCCCGAGCAAGTGCAGGGTGGCACCGCCACTCCACTTCCACCATTATCCCTCCGTGTATCATAGTCTTCCATTACCCTCAGTATTCAGTGTTTCTCATCTGCGTCACACAACAAATGGAAGAGACTCGAATCAGAGTTCAGAAATGACGCTGAAACGCAACGCGAACCGAATTTGCGGAGAAGATGCAATTCGTTATTGCCCCGATCAAATGTTCGCATTCGTTGAATTCGTTTAAGACGGTTGAAATCAGTGTTATGGCGGTGTTTGAAGAGATAATGGAGGGAGAGAAAATGGAAGGAAAAAGAAGAGTGAGGCGTGAAACGTACCGCGATTGGAGCTTGCCAACTATGCTTGCATGGAATGAAATGAAAGAGAATAGGAAGTGAGTTGAAGAAGTGAAAAAAGAAGCAAAAGTGAGGATAATATGACAGGAGAAGTAGGGTTTTGGGTTTTATGGAAGAAGAGAAATATCTCTCTTGTTCAACCAAACAACCCCTTTCCAGCCATTACTCGAAAAATATCATAACAAAGCTGTTATTTCCTTTGGGCTCCGTTTCGGCCCATTCCATCCTCTGTCAAAAAAAAACATCAATTCACTTTTTTTTTTTATTTTGACATTTTTTATGTTTGAGAAAGTATGTTGTCAAAGTGACCGACCTCGCTTACGTTTACAACGTTTAATCTATCATGGATTTATTTAAAAATGTATTAGTTCAACTTTGTTATTTTTTATGAGTTAAATATTTTATAATCAGACTCAACCTCAGATGGATGGAATTGGTAAATTAATGAATTGATTTATTAAATATATTTGATTTTTTAAATTTATTTTATATATTTATTGTTATACAATAAAAAGTAATTAACTCGATTGATATTTTATAAGAGTATAATTAAAAAAATTATTGATTATTTTATCGAATATTATTGTAAACATCGAAGTTAAAAATTAATTGATTATTTGATGGAAATGATGGTTGTATAAGGATTCTGAATATTATGTGATATCAATGGTTACAAAGCTTGTCACTTATTATTCCACAAATGAGATATTTTTGTGATATAGTTAATTGTTGGTGATAGTGTTAAAATTAATTTTTAGAATGATTTATGGTGTTTAAGTATATGCATTTCTCTTTTTATAAGTGTTCCTTGTGTTGTCTTCTTACGCTTTTTTGCCATTGTTTGTTTGGATTATATCTCTTTTTTAGTTGGGATTTATGAATTGCAATTTACAGAGTCTTCCGATCATTTCCTTTAAATATGTTCTTAATTAAATTTTTTAAATATTATACGATTCTAAATCAAAAGGGAGCTACCTATAAAAATTTTCTTTATTGTTATTACTCAAAAGGATCAATAGAAGTTAATCTGGTTTGCTTTTATTCATCTCTCAAAATCCTTGTTTTATGAAAATTCTTACATAATAGCCTTTTGATGGATAAAAACGCATAAGGTACATGTGGAATTTATTCTCCATGTGTGTTTCTTACAAGGGACAAGAACAATCCATTCGACATATTTTTTTCGAAGATCAAATCGTTGTATACATTTGATTTTCATTGTGGGACATTTTTTTCTAGATCTTCAAAAATTGTCTACCACTCGTTTAATTGTTTTTGAGTAGAAATGTTTTGTTGAACTTATTCAATTATTTATCGTAATTTATATTATTTGAATGATTTGGAAAATGAAAATTTTCAAATGTTTTATTGCAAACTCTAATGCACGAGGTTAGAAGATATGCAATATTAGTGGTTAATTCTTTTATAAGACATGAAAAATTATATACATGATTTTCTAAATTTAAAACATTTGCATATAAACACTAGATTGGGAATATTTATACAAATCTTTTTGTAATTTTTCACGGTGACTAGATTAAGATGAATGTTGATGGTGTAACTTGTGAGAATCTTTATCTTAAAACTTGTATTGACTATTTCAGAAATAATATATTGATGGCTTTTTATTTTTTTGTAAGGATGCAAAATTCTTTATATTTCAAATTTATGGGAGCTCATTGAGTGACTTTATAGGTGTTTTATTAGAAAGTGATTTTGTAATGTTGTCAAACCTTTTTCTTTTCTCAAGTTGTTCTCTAATATATTGGAGGAAGATGAAAAACAAAATGTTTAAAAACATGTAAAATAATCGTGTTCAAGTGTTACCGTGTCTAACAGAGAGAAATCACATTAATTGACATTTTTTTTAAATTTAAAAATGAAACTCGTTATAAATGTTGTGATATTATGTTATATATTATTGTTCTTGATTTTTTTTTCAACTTTTTATGTTTAAAGTTTTTTTTTTAAGTTTGTAATTTTGTGTGTATAAGTTTGGTTTGATATTCCATATTTTTTTGTTATTATTATTATTAATAATAATTCTCTTGTGATTATAAATGATTTCAAATAACGTGATTATATCAATTTAAGCCAATCGTAAATTGATTTAGTGGTATAACCTTCTATACACACAAGTAGCATTATTAAAAACATGTTCATTCCATGCCCAATAGTCATTGATTTATAACCATTAAATTCACATATTATATGTTTACATCGTCTTCCAAATGTTGATAGAAGAAATTGTCTACCAAATAAAAAAAAAATGTAACCCCATATATCATCATAATCTCAGCCTTCCAAAATCTATGTAGTCTTAACGTATATGAAATCCACACGGAGGAAGAATTTCGGATAGGGTTAAATATGTTTTTAGTCCCTAAACTATTGGCCGTTTCTGGTTTTCGTCCCTCTTCCAAAGTAAGGTACAATTTGGTCTTCATTCTTTAGAAAAACGTTCGTTCTCAAAATTTTGTTTTTAGTCCTCGTTTTAGTCCTCAAAACGTTCGTTTTTTCGACTAAAAGGAACGTTTTTTAAAGATTGAGGACTAAATTGTACCTTACTTTGGAAGAGGGACGAAAACCAGAAACGGTCAATAGTTTAGGGACTAAAAACATATTTAACCCTTTCGGATATATAAATCATAAACAGAAAGTTTTATCATAAGTACCTTAAATAAATTTGTTGGAAATTATACTTGCCATACATATTTACTATTACCAACGTCATATTCATTTACATAGTGTTCCTAAAACCTAACCTCTAATACATTTTCTTCAAATATTGGTATTTTTCAACAATTTAATTATATTACGTAACACTTATACAACATAATTGAAATAATTTTAGTCATTTAAAATAATGTAAAAATAGTGAAAATGACATATATAATATATAACGTGTTCAAACCTTTTGCAAAATGTCATCTTATTATCAATAATCACAACATTAGCAGCAATATTAGTAATTAAAGTAATTTAAAGAAAATACGTGACAATAAATAACCATCAACAATATATTACCCACTTTAATATTAATTATAAGTTTTAAAAGTATTTCATAAGCACAAACAAATAAAATTAATTTTAGAGTGCCAATAATGTTAGTTTTACCAATCAAAATCAGTGTCTTAATATTTTGCTGGTCAAATTTTGGAGTGCAAATCATGTTAGCTTTACCAAAATTTAACTTTTTTTAACAAAAAAAAGTGTCTTCTTATTGAGTACGTCCAATCTACGATTATATTAAATATTTTTATTGTTTATAAATTCATAAATAAAAAAAGTAAAGATAGTTAATGTGTTAAAAATATAAAATATATACTCCTGCAAATATAAAGCCAGCAGATTGGTTAAAAAATATTCAGAATTACTATTTTATATAACAGTAACTTTTTGTAAGCCATTTTCATCTTAAACGACGCAACCCTTGTTGTCGTTTATAAGAAACTGATATGGTTGGTTCGACAAGTGTGCGAGCAATACGACAGGAACACTATAATTAGGGTTTATGGTATACCCCAAATAGACCAACTGGGAGGCAGAGAAACCGAGAGAACTATAGAGAAAAGGGTGTTTAGTTTCAATGGCGTCAAGGGTTTCTCTGAAAGCGAAGGGTAAGAGTTCGAAGGGATCGAAGGCACAAGAAGACCGATCCGTGTGCGAGTCTCTGAAGGAGTGGACGACATGGACGATGCGAAAAGCGAAGGTCATCACTCACTATGGTTTCATCCCTTTGGTCATCATCATTGGTATGAACTCTGACCCTAAGCCTGCACTTTCACAGCTTCTCAGCCCCGTCTGATCCACCTCTTGGATTCTCCATCATTAATGCGACGACGTTTCGTTCTTTTTTTTTTCTTTCCCCTTTTTCATATCTGTAACTTCATTGAATCAGTTTTCAGAATGGAGTAGTTTTTTTTGTTCGAGACAATTATCGAAGACGCGGTAGTAAATAATGGATCTTTTATTATAATTGCAATATTCAAATATCGTCCTTGCTTTTTATTTTGTTTTCATCTATTGAGGATTGTTTTTCTGATAGTTGGTAATGGTTTGATCAATGGAATTGAACTTGTTTTTTTTTGTTCTATTTAACTGGTATGTGGCTTCTATAGTATCGTGTTTGTCTTTGGTTGAGCAGGTGGGAAATCACTGTGTTTGTTTCTTTACTATATCTAGGGAATTGGATTTTGCAGTCATGTTTCATGCTTAGAGATTCACATGGTTTATTTGGGGGAAGCACTGTTCCTGTGGTTTTATAATGTCAATAGTTTGACGGTGTTTGATTTGTATCAAACCAAACCCTGTTTTCGCAATTTACTGCCAAATTAAGTTCATATGATATTTCAGGGCCAAATTTGGGGTTTTTTCAATTGTGCTACTTCTTCTGACTACCCGAAAGTGTTCAAATATTTTTTCATTTTGAACTTCGGTTTGGGTTGTGCCTCATAGCATTTTAGCAAGAAAGATTATAGGATTGAGAAAATTTTATGAAACTCTTTTGTAATAATTCTAGAGTCTACGATACTTTGTAAATTTTATGCTGTATTGCGTTGAATTTATGATCATGAGATTTCTTACTGGTGATATGAGAACCTTGTTTCCACAGTTAACAAATTGGTATATCTTTTTGTCATTTCCACTAAGAAAAAATTTAGTGAAACATTTCGAGCATTGTGACTTATTTTTTGTGTTTTTTATGTAGAAAAACAAGTTGTACCAAACAAACACCTCTGTTCAATTTATACATTTTGTTTTAGCTACAACAAGTCGTAAAAAACACACATCTCTGATTCAATTTATACATTGCTGTCAAATTTTAGAAGATATAAAGTTTGTTACCTTTTCTTATAACTCAATTTCGTTTGTAAACTTTGCCCGGTACTTAAATCATCTTATTGCTTCAGAAAACATAGACGTGATTAATTGTCTTGTCATGAAATTCTAGCTTTGCAGTAGCAGTTTCTATACCAAATTTTAAAATACGGTACTTGCACCTTAAAATATGATATTTCATAGTTATGGGCATTATTTTAAACACATTTGAAATTGATTCTTGTTCTAACGCAATGTTTCATCATGTTGTTCAAGCTCTGTCAAAATGACTGTCAACAGCTATGCATGCAAAGAATAAAACGTTAAACGATTAACTTTGTGTTTAGAACCAATCTTGATGAAGTTTGGCAACTTCTCAATAATCAGGTTTAATTCTTCTAGATGTAAAATATTAAAATAACTCTTTTAGTATGCCCATATTGTGTATGAAATTCATACAAAGATTTTAGGTAAACTTGTGAGAGGGAGAGTTAAGCAAAATATATTTTTTGTATTAGCATATTTGTTAGTTTTACCATGACTATAAACAAACTGTTTCTTCTTCCAATTTAACATTTTACGAACATTCCAATAATGAAAGGAGACATGTTAGATGTCACGGAATAAAACTTATATTATTGGGGTTGCATCTTCCTGCACCCTCCAAGTGGACTGATATACTTTTCATTAAATGGAAAAAGAAGGCAGGTAAAGAATAGGTACTGTCATTTAATTCCACTATTATATATTTACTGCATCCTGTATCCACAAGTTCATTTCGTTCTTATGCAAGTTTATTTTGTTCTTTTGATTCTCCTTCGTGGTCCCTCTTGTGGGTCTTCTGGTTTTGTTTGTAGTCCTTTTGTGTTGAGTTTTGGTGATGGTCTCTATCATTGTCCTCTTATGTCAAAATTAATCTTTTTCAAAAGTTAAGTAAAATTATTTTTTCGTGTGGTAAGAATGCTAAGGTTGTTGAGTCCTGAAGATGTTACTTCAATTATCTAAAAAAAACAACAATAGTTATTATTATAAAAAAACATTAAGTGCATTTAACAATTTTATTGTGTCAGAACGTGTTTAAAAGATATCACTTGTTACCTTAGATTTGTCGACAGCATTTACTTTAGTCTAATTGATGTACTTATCACGATCTAACGTAAGTTATTACAATTGACCATCTCAATTATCATTTGTAAGTATATCCTGCATGGTGTGTTTGTTTGATGGTAATGTGCATTATATGTTTGTTTGATGGTAATGATATTACCATAGTTGTTTTTTTTATAGTAAAATATTTGAATACTTTACTTGACTATTAGTCATGTTAACAAATAATGTCTTTTCAATGAGATTTAAACTTCCAATAAAACGATGAGCAACTAAATTTTGTAATTTTGTGTCAAATCATGGTTATGATACTCGTATATAACCTTTGATGATACGTACTCTCTTTATTAAAATTTGGTTTGCTCCTCAACTTAAAATAACTCACATTTTTTTTTGTGTTTGTTATAATCATGTTTGTATTTCTTGTATTTTCTACCACTTTTACACTTTAACAAGACAAACATCTTTTTTCCAAATTTATTAGTAACTTTATCAAATCTTATAGTTATAACAATAAATTCAATATGAAAAACAATTGTTCAAACTCACTCAAAGAATTTACATTTTTTTGTGTCGAACATCATGTTTATATTTCTTATACTTTTTGCCACTTTTATATAGTTTAATAAGACAAACGTTTTTCTTTTAGACTCCTTTGTAACTATGAAATCTTATAATTACAACAACAAACTCAAGATGAAAAACAATTTCTCAAAATCCATTCAATTAAGTTACCATGATTGATTAGATTTTGAAATTTAATGCCTTTTAAACTGAATTTTAAAATCTTATGATTTTTCTCACCAAATTTCAAAATTTGGTAGTCTTTTAAACAGGCTTTCGACATCCAATTTGCTTCCCAACAATTTAAAATATAGAGTAAATGAAAGAAACTTAAATGAATGATTATACATCATGCCAAACCAAGAGATGAATATAGACAACCTTGCACCACCATCAAAAAGTCATAGGATTATTCATTTAGATATTATTATTTACCCAATAGACATTCTTCATATTTTTTTTTACATTTATTTTATTTAAAGTCATAGGATTATAAGAAAAAGATATTAAACAAAAACTTCAAATCCTTCAATTGTAATGATTTTAAGAACTTTACTTAATGAAATAAAATGTGTCAAAAAGTGTGTTTATTTCATTTAAAATATATAATTTCAGTTTGATTTACATTATTAATGAAGTGTATTTAATATAAAAAGTGTTATAATTTATAAATTAATCTTATCCATATTTATTTGAGATAATACTTATATTTAAATTAACTCGATTTATCTCAAGCAATGGTGAAATCAAGTAAAATAAAATTAGTTAAAATTTATTTATTATAATTTTATGACATCCATTATTTTATTACATTATATTTTTGGGCCTCTCATTCCATTCCAAGCCCACAATCACAGTGAAGCAATTAAACTGAGAGTGTTTCATCCTACACCTCCAAGATCTCATCCTGCACCTCCAAAAATTTCACTTTTAACCTTCTGACATCTCATCATTATCCTACACCTTTAACTTTATAGAAAATTTTATTTTTAATTTTAATAAATATATTTTTATTTTCTTCTTTTTCTTGTTAAAAAGACTCTATATCACCTTAATAGTAACTAAATTTAAAATTCAAATATTATTTAATATAATTTCATATTTTAATAATTATTAAAATATGATTTATGTTATAATAATAATTATATTAAAAATATAAAAATAAAATAATTAAAAATAAAAATAATAACAAAAAAATAAATTATATTAAATAAAATATTTAATATATTCAAATATATTAAATTATATTAAAATATTAAATTAAATTAAATAATTATTAAAATTTAAATAATAAACAAAATTTTAAAACAGTTATTTAACAAATAAAATTATATTAAATAAAATATTTAAATATACTAAATTATATTAAAATATTAAATTAAATTAAATAATTATTAAAATTTATATATAAAATAAAATTTTAAAAACTCTTTATCGGATATGGATATCCGATTTATAACTTATCGGATATCTATATCCGATTAACAAATTTTTCAAAATTTTGTTTTTCTAAAATTTTAATAATTATTAAATTTAATTTAATATTTTAATATAATTTAATATATTTAAATATATTAAATATGATTTTAAATATTGTTTTTATTTTTATTTTTATTCTTATTTTAGTTATTATATTATAATTTTTATTTAAGTTTAATATTTATTAAATTTTAAATAAAAGGTAAAGTATTAACATATTTTATAGATTTTAATATATAAATAAACTTTTTAAAATTTTCATTTTTATTTAAAATTTAATAATTATTTAATTTATTTTAATATTTTATTATAATTTAATATATTTGAATATATTAAATCAAATTTATTTTTATTATTATTTATTATTGTTATTATTTTATTTTTATGTTTTTAATATAACTATTATTATAATATAAATTATATTTTAATAATTATTAAAATACAAAATTATTTTAAATAATATTTAAATTTTAAAATAAATTAAATTAAATTATTATTAAGGTAGTGAAGATTATTTTTAATAAAAAAGAAAAGAAAATGGAAAAATATTTATTAAAGTTAAAAATAAAGTTTTGAAAAAGTTGGAGGTGCAGGATGATGATGAGATGTCAGAAGGTTAAAAGTG